GAAGAAGAAGAAGAAGAAGAAGAAGAAGAAGAAGAAGAAGAAGAAGAGTTCAAAGGAGGAGGAGGGGGACTGAGGGATCCTTGCTGCTCTCTAAGATGGGTTATTTTCTTGCAGACGTTTCCTGACCCAACTAGGGAACATCATCAGGGCTAGGAGGGAAGTGGGGTTTGCAGAGAGGAGGAAGAAGGAGGAGGCGGATTCAAACTTTTCCTGCGAGGGAAACTCGATCTGGAAGTCGTTTCCTATTTGCACCCGTGATGAGAAGCATCTCGAGTTTTCCATGGCCGTCTTGGCCTTCGTAGAAATGGGTGGCGGGAACTTGGCAAAAAAAAAACCCCGAGAAGCTGGACAAAAGGAGAAGCCTTCTGGGTTCCCAAGCACACAGGTGCAGCCACAAGGAAGCCCCCCTCCTCCTCCTGGGTTTAAATCAGTTAGTTAGACTTAGGGAAGAGATCTGCGATGACCCAGGGTGGGATACAAAACAAACACAGTCACAGAAAACAGGTGAAGCCCCTTTTATTCCTCCGCTTTGCTTCCAAGCTCCGAATATCCTTGACTGGAGACAAAAAACTCCCCCACAAACAGTTACAAGAAGGAGGGGAAAAAAGCAGCAGAAACCAGGCAAGATAAGGGCTGGAGGACGTCCGCAGATAACAGAACACACGCTGGGAAGGACGCCAAACTCAAGAGAGGAACCATAAACTAGAGATATTTCCACGCTTTGTTGTTGTTGCATGTCCGCCTTGTTATGCAGTTCTCACACCTGCACGATCAAGGCACTCTCCTCCCGAGTAGACCATGTCCCTTATCCTCTCCTCCCTGCCGTGCCCTAGGATGGAGAGGGGAAGGGCCTGGGTCCTCCTCTGACTGCCCAGCCGGCCTCTGCCCTTCCCCAGCCTCCTCCACCACAACCCCCGGAGAGTCCCACTCCCACTCCCTGTGGGCTGCTGTTGCTCCCCTCCCTCGGAGTCAGCCTCCACCAGGGGCCGTGACAAGAATCCAAGAAATGGAGAAGATCTCCAGAAGAGCCAAGAAATCGTGATTACTGAGTAGATCCCGGGGGCTTTTGAGTTTGGGGAGCGGGAGACACGAAGGAGGTTTAAGAGAGGTAGATATAGTAGTTAAGGCATCAGGTGGGGGAACCGGGAGACGGTGAATTCTGGCCCTGTTTTAGACGTGAAAGCCAGCTGGGTGACTGGCTAGGAGATGGAGAGTCCTAGTTTCTCCTTACCCATGAAAACTGGGTGACTTTGGACCAGTCACTTCCTCAATCCAGGCAGCCTCCACTGGGTGCTTGTTACGTGTGAGGAGGGGGAGCTGGCTGGATGGACTTTGAGCAGAATCAACCAGGCGATGGCGAGTTCTAGTCCCGCTTCATGAAAACTGGGTGTGACTTTGAACCAGTCACCTTCTCAACCCAGACCTTGCTGGGTTGTTGTTGGTGGGGAGGAAAGCTGGGTGGGTGGGCTTTTGGCCAATCACTAGGAGACGGAGAGTTCTAGTTTCACCTTCTCCATGAAAATGCACTGGGTGACTGGGTGTGTGTGTGTGTGGAGCTGGCTGGTTGAATATGAGCCAGTCCCCAGTAAGATGGTGAGTTCTAGTCTCGCCGTAGGGATGGAAAGCCAGCTGCTGGGTGCCTTTGGGCCAGGCCCTTTCTCAAAATCACAGGCTTTTATTATTGGAAAGGGGGAAAATAGAAAGGAGGAGGAGAGTTAGATGACGTTTCCCACCTTGAGTTGTGCGGATGTAAATAAAGTAATAAAAACAGGTGCGGTAGGGAAAATGTGGACGGAGAGGGGGAAATTCGGTGTGGCGAGGGTGTCCATAAGCAATTCTTTTGGGGGCACGTGGTCTCTTTGGACCTTACAAGGGGTCTGCAAATGTGGCCCCTTTTAAGACTTCCGGACTCCAACTCCCAGAATTCTCCAGCCAGCTCCCCCCCCCCCCACTTTGCCGATGTCAAGATATATTACATCGACACCACATTCCCTCCGTCTATTAAGAAAGTTACCCTCCCTGGCTGGCTGGGGTAATTCTGGGAGCTGAAGTCCACGAGTCTTTAAAGTGGCCAAGGTTGGAGACCCCCCGATTTAATACCTATGGACTTCAACTCCCAGAATTCCCCCAGCGGCCCCCCCCCCCCCCCACTTCGCTGAAGCCAAGTTATATTAAATCCACTTCATACCCTCCATCTCTTAAGAAAGTTACGGGGAGTGGAAGTCCACAGGCCTTGAAGGGGCCATGTTTGCATCCCCCTCTGCTGGAGGTTTGGTGTTGGGACCCATCCGCATGGCCTCGGGGGACCCCAGAAGGTGGGTCTGCCCCGGTGGGCTTTCTGCTCTGGCTGGCCCCCGGGTTGGGTTGGTGAATGAGGTGCCTGCTTTTCTCTCCGGCAGATAACGCCATCCCCATCAAGTCGTGGTTCAGCGACCCCGGGGACACGGCCCTCCTCAACCTCCTGCCCATGCTCGATGCCTTGAGGTAAGGGGCCTGGCGATGGGAGGGGCCTTGGAGGGAGGGGGAGGGGCTTCAGAAAGGGAGGGGGTGGTCTTGCAGGGGGTTGGACCGGGGGGGGGGGGTATCTAGGCACCTGGGGAGTTCTAGTCTGACCTTGTCTGCGAAAGCCAGACTTTTGGTCCAATCCCCAGGAAGGAGACGGGGAGTTCTAGTCCTGCCTTAGGCGTGATAACGTGGGTCGGATAGGTCCGCCGCCGTGAATTTATTTGTAAAATAACGAAGACGGGAGAGAAAGAAACGCAGAAAGAAAAGAAAAAAGGCGTTCCTGACCGGACTCTTCTCCCCCCCTCCAGGTTCACAGCGGACGTCCGGTCGGTGCTCAGCCGCAACCTGCACCAACATCGCCTCTGGTGACAGCGGCTCCTCCTTTCTTCAGGGTTCGGCCACAGCCCTCTGCCTTATCCCGGGACCCGCTCCTCTCGCCAGGCGCCACGGCCGACAACCCCCCCCCCCCCAAAAAACCCCCCCTTCAGACTCAGCCGGCCAGGGGGGTGTCAAGCGGGGGCGGGGAGCGTGACTCCAATTTTGGCTTTGGCCCCGTGGCCGTCGGCCCGCCCTGCTACTGGCAGTGACTCAGCTGGGCAGAGGGGCCACGATGCCGGGATGCGCCAAGAAAGGGGGTGAAAATCGCGCCAGCCGCAGCGAGCGACGCTTGGACGGACTTCATTATTTTTTCTCTCCCCCCGCCCCCCTTCCTGCAAGGAGGCTGTGTTGCTCAGTGGGAAGAGCCTCCCCCCCGCCTCCTTCCCCAGCTTTCCCGTGGTTTTTTTTTCCCCCATTCTCCTCCTCCTCCCCCCTTGCAATCTTGGGGAGGGGGCGGCTACCTCCGCGAAGGAGCTTCCAGGACCCCAACTCTTTTTGGTTTAAGTGGGTTGGCCCTCCCACTCGGATCGGTGCAGCAGATGGGTCCCTCCTCCTCCTCCTCCTCCTCCTCCTCTTGATGCCAGGATGGCTTGGTTTTTAATTTTATTTCTCGGACTTTGGGGGTCTCGGAGGAGGGGAGCCGAAACTGACTTGGACTGAGGGGGGGGAGGGGGGGAAATGGGAAGAAAAGAAAAGCAAAACAAAACAAAACAAAACAAAAAAGGAAAGAAAAACACCGAAAGCTTCTCGTTGGCTGTTCTTCTCGTCTGGAAAGGAGTTGGCGGAAGGCGGGCAGGGCATGGCCGGCGGCTGGTTCCCTTTGGAGCTGCTTCTCCACTTAATGCCAGTTCATTTAGTGACCACAAAAAAAAGTTAACCACAAAAAAAGGAAAGAGACATAAGACCACGTTCCACCCATCCCTTCTTTCCCCTCTCTTCCTCCCTCCTTCCTCTCCTCCCACTTTTTCTCCCTCCCTCTCGTCCTGCCTTCCGTCCATCCATAATTCCCTTCTTTCCATCCCTTCTTTCCTCCATCCCTCCTTCTCTTCCCCCCTCTCTCCTTCCTTTCTTCCCCCTTCCATCCACCCCTTCTTTCCCCCCTCTCCCTCCCTCCCTATTCCTCTCCCTTTCCCCCCCTCACGTGACCAAACTTGGAGAGGCTTTGGCAAAGTGGCACGCACTTACGACGGTGTGCCACGTGGGGGTTGGTCACGCGATCTCCTTTTGCAACCCAAAAGTCAAACGGATTCACTTCACACCACGGTGCTACTGACTTCTATAACATCGGTCGTGATTCAGTTTCACAAAATTTTGGCCAGGGCGGCTGTAAACACGTGGGGGGGGGGGGGGGGGGGGGGCTCCCCCCCCAAGCTGGGGGGCGGGGGGGCGGTCCTAGGCAGAGGCTAATGCTTGGAATAGAGAGATTCCTGCTTGGGGGGGGGGGTTAGACTAGATAACCTCCAAGGCCCCTTCCTACTCTTGTTATTATGAGCAGAGGGTTGGACTAGATGACCTACAAGACCCCTTCCTACTCTTGTTATTATGAGCAGAGGGTTGGACTAGATGACCTACAAGGCCCCTTCCAACTCTTATGAGCAGAGGGTTGGACTAGATGACCTACAAGGCCCCTTCCAACTTGTTATTATGAGCAGAGGGTTGGACTAGACCTACAAAGTCCCTTCCAACTTATTATGAGCAGAGGGTTGGACTAGATGACCTACAAGGTCCCTTCCAACTCTTATGAGCAGAGGGTTGGACTAGATGACCTACAAGGTCCCTTCCAACTCTTGTTATTATGAACAGAGGGTTGGACTAGATGACCTCCAAGATTTCTTTCAACTCCTGTTATTCTGAGTAGGGGGTTGGGCTAGATAACCTCCAAGGTCCCTTCCTACTCTTGTTCTTATGAGCAGAGGGTTGGACTAGATGACCTACAAGGCCCCTTCCTACTCTTGTTATGAGCAGAGGGTTGGGCTAGATGACCTCCAAGGTCCCTTCCAACTCTTGTTCTTTTGAGCAGAGGGTTGGACTAGATGACCTACAAAGTCCCTTCCAACTCATTATGAGCAGAGGGTTGGATTAGATGACCTACAAGGTCCCTTCCAACTCTTATGAGCAGAGGGTTGGACTAGATGACCTACAAGGTCCCTTCCAACTCTTGTTATTATGAGCAGAGGGTTGGACTAGATGACCTCCAAGATTTCTTTCAACTCCTGTTATTCTGAGTAGGGGGTTGGGCTAGATGACCTCCAAGGCCCCTTCCAACTCCTGTTCTCAGCAGGGGATTGGACACGATGACCTCTGAGACCCCTTCCAACCCGTCATTGTTTTTCTGAGCAGGGGGGTGGGCTAGATGACCTCCAAGGCCCCTTCCGACACATTCTACGTGTTGTATTGTAGTACCCTCGAATCCTTGGATGTTGATAAACTACAATCCGTGGTTGGTTGTGTGACCCCCCCCCCCAGATTGCGGTTTACGCGCATTGCAAAACAAAAGGTGTGTGTGTGGGGGGGGGGGGGGCGGTCTGTTTCAGGCGGAGGCTGCCCGTGTTCTCCCTGTCGCAGCGGCCTTTCCCCTTCGCCCAGCAGCGCTGCGGGCGGCTTTAAGCCCCGCTGGGGACTACAACGCCCATCCCAGCCGAGCGCAGGAAGCAATGAGGGGCGTTGCAATCCGCCCTAGGCTCCCAGCGGGGGCGGCCTCGTCACGTGATGCCCGCGCCTGCCGTGGGCGAGCCGGCCAGCGCCACGTGACCATTCCTCTCCTCTGACGTCAGTCACATGACGGGACGCTGCGCATCCCCTTCCCTTCCTTTGCCGTGTCCTTCCGCGCCGTTTGAGCGGAAGCCGCCTTTTCAAAGGGAAGGGGTGCTTTGGGAGCGGGCCGCTCCATCCATACCCCCGGCCTCTTTTTCCCTTCGAGTCCCGCCGTTTGGCGTCCCGTTGGAGCCCTTTTTGCCACGGCGGCGGCTCGGCGGACTACTTTGTTTTTGGTATGTCACGCGGGCACGCAGAGATACGCAGCGCCCGCTGACGTCACGCGCCCGAGGGGAGGGGCGGGGCCCGAGCCAAGCGGACGGGAAAAAAAACACGGCTTTCCTTCCCGGGAATCCGGGCCATCGTCGATGCCCGAAGCGCTTCCAGGGTCCCTCGCGCCATCCGAACCAACAAAACAGAGCCGGCGGCGCCCGTTGGAGGCTCGAGAGCCGTTCGGTGGGCGTGGCCGCGCCTCGCCGGGACTCCTTCCCCACCCCCGCGCCCCTCGGATCGCTGCGCCGCGTCGGCCTCCCGCGCATGCGCGTTGCTTGGGTGCAGCGGCCCCTTTTTCGGTCCGCCGCGTCGCTTCCTCCGTTTGTCGCCGCCGCCGCCGCCATGAAGTTCGTCTACAAGGAGGAGCACCCGTTCGAGAAGCGCCGCTCCGAGGGGGAGAAGATCCGGAAGAAGTACCCGGACAGAGTCCCGGTGAGTCTCTAGAGAGGCGCCCACTCCCCTTCCCCCCCCGGAAGTCTCTTTTGAGGGTGTCCGGACTTTCCCGGACGGGGGCTTCCTTCCCCTTTTCTCATCCTCCTGCTTTTTTTTTTTTTTTTTAACCCCCCGGCAGGTCATCGTGGAAAAAGCCCCCAAGGCCCGAATAGGGGACCTGGATAAAAAGAAATACCTGGTGCCCTCCGACCTCACAGGTGAGAGACCCGGACAGGTGAGGGGGGGGGGGGGAGGGCCCATTGATGGGGGGGGGGGGGGGGGGGGGCGTGGTCAAGGGGATTCCCCGGGGCCCCGCCCCCCCCGGCCCCCCCCTTTTTTCCCCCCTTTTTACCCCCCCCCCCCGCCCCGTTTTGTGGCGCTCCCTCCTGTGTGACTTGGCTCTCTCCTCTTGGTGCCCTTTCCCCCAGTGGGCCAGTTTTACTTCCTCATCCGGAAAAGAATCCACCTGCGGGCCGAGGACGCCCTTTTCTTCTTCGTCAACAACGTTATCCCCCCCACCAGTGCCACCATGGGGCAGCTCTACCAGGTGGGTCTTCCCTCCCCGTCCTTCACCGACCGCCTTTTCTAGGGAAAGGAGAAAAAGAGAGGAGGAGAAAGGAGACGTAGACAGAGAAAGGGGAGGAAAGGGAGAGAAAGGGGAGATGGGGAGAGGAGAAAAAGGAGAGAGAAAGAGGACAGGAGAAGGAGAGGAGGAGAAGGAGGAAAGATTTAGCCTCAAATAGTTTGTCAACCTCAGTAAACAACAAATTGGCAAAAGATAAAAGGAAAAAATAAATCATGGAGAAAATGAAGACTTGGGAGAAACCCCAACCTCTTAGCCGGGTTGAGTGTCCCATCCACCCTCGATCTTCCTGCTAAAACTTTATTCTGATTTATACTTTATTTATTTGGCCGGGGAGATACGCAAGGAGTTTGTCACCTGTACACAAGCCGGTGTCCTTTCAAAACAGCAGAATTGTATAACAAGGAAAACTCAGCATACTTCCAAAACTACTTATTATCTCTTTTATTCATTATTAAACATGAAACTCAGTCAACATTTTAAAATGTATCACAAGTAATTGATGAGGGTTGCTGCCAGCATCCCAGGTATCGACCAAGCACTTTCAAAATGGCAGAATAATAGTACAAATAACAAGGAAAACTCGTACTTCCAAAACTAATTATTACTATTTAACATTAGGAATAACACAAGCGTGCAGCCAATAAAAGAAAGTAGCAAAAACCTATAAAAGGGGTAAATAGTAACCCTTATTGTGATATTTTACTGTTTCCTGCTATTTTTGACTGGGTTGCGTCAGTTTCCCAATAAAGTAAAATCCAACTCTGGGTGGGAAAGGGGTTGATGGGAGTTGTAGTCTTTGGGTCAGCAGGTGTATTTGTTGAGGGGGGGGTTTCTGGGGAAGGGGCTTCAGACCATCTCTCAACCCTGCTATTCACACAGGTGATTTGTTTGGGGGTGGAGGGGGCTCATTTGACAGCCCTCAAGATAAGGCCGTGTGTAAATCTTACAAATATTATTACAGTTAGTTGGGTGGCTTGACCTGAGATCTTTCTCCCCTCCCCTTAAAAGTGCTTTGATCTAACAGCATCTCCCCCTCCCCATTTCAGGAACATCACGAGGAGGATTTTTTCCTTTATATCGCCTACAGCGACGAGAGCGTTTATGGCACCATGTAAGACCCCTGCAGTCCACTGGCTGCCGCCGAGGGGCACCTTGCCCCCTGAAGGGACCTGCACTTTCTGTTACTTGTTGATTTTGTTTTAAAAGGTTGTGTTTTTCTTTTCTTTTTTTTTTTTTTCTTCAAGAAAATGGGGGGTGCTTTTTCTCTCTTCCCCCCCCTCCCCACCCTTTAATTTCTGGCTGTGAATCTTTAACTCTCTCCCTCTTTTAACTCCTTCCCTCCTCTGGGTTTTCTTTTTGAGGTGGTTGTGGCTAAAATTAAAATACCTCCTCCCTTGCATTGTCCCCCTATGTGCTTGATTGCTTTCTTTTCTATCCTTTTCTTTTTTTTTCTCTATTGAAAAAGGTAATCTGGAATTTCTCTCCAAAAGCAACAAGGGAAACAACCCTCCCCTCTCCGTTTTCGTTTTTTTCTTTTATTTTATTCCTTCACCACGCACCCCAAGTTTTGCTTTTCTTCCAGGAGGCGTGTTCGCCTGGCAAGACTTTCTGTAACCAGAGTTTTCGGGGATGGGAAACGAATGCAAATTAAAACAAAACCAAAAAAAAAAGTTATATAAAAGAGAACGTGTCAGACTCTGGAGAATTATTTTATTGTCGAGGTTTTTTTTTTTAATACGGCGCCGACATTGCAAAAAATCTGGGGCAGCTGAGTTGAATAAGGGAGAAAGGGAGGGGAAAGAACGTCCAGTGTTTTCTCAACACATTGGAATTAGATTACTTTCTTGTCCTTGCACCTCCTACAACGGAATCAAACACCATCTTCAGTGCATATCATGACCATGACCATGAAAATAATGAGAACCACACATCCTTCACCCTGCACACATTGAACTGGAAACCCTCCACACCACTCCAACACTGCAGAGTTCAAAAGAGCCCTGAGATAGAAGCTGTTTTTTTTTTTTCAGGTAAATTTTCCTTTTTTTCATTCTCCTGTACCATCTTCCCAGATAGTAATAGTTCAAAACAAAGGTGCCCAGGATGAGATAAGTCTTTGAGAACATTTTGAACTTTCTTAAGGCAGCGGGAGCGATAAGGCTCTTCCGAAGAGGGGAGAGGGCAACCCATGATCTGAATTCCCCCCCCCCATTCTGTTCCAGCCCTAGAAGGGGATTTGGCGGTGGTGAGTCGAGCCTTAAGAACCTTCCAGAAGAGTGGCGGCTTTCATTAAAGGGGAAAAGTGGGAGTTCAATGCAAAACAGGTGTCCTCCCAAGCTGTGATCTCTAGCAGATGGAGAAAGCCAATTAGCAGAGGAGAGTCACCTTGGCAGGTGGGGGCTTTTAGCAGTGCCCCAAGGCTACATGGGTTTGATTGGCAGGTGAAGGGCAAACCCCCACCCTCCCAGGACTTGCATTGGGCCGCTCAAAGAGGCAACTTGTGGTCTTCCAAACTCTTCTTGGCCTGCTTACTCTCTTGTGATCTCGCCACTCTAGGAAGCTATAATGGGGAGGTGGGGGAACAGGCAGGTTTGAATTGGGAGTTCTGGGAGTTGGCAGTCCCACAAGTCTTGGAAGGTGCCAAGTCTGGAGACCCCCCCTCCCGGGACAAGGAACCCGAAATTGCCTCTCTTAGCAAGTTTGATCCTTCTGATCTTTTGTACCATCCTAGTCTGGCTCTTGTGACTATTCTCTCTGTAACAAACCATCATTTGAGACTTTCAAGAAGAGATTGAACTCCCATCTGTCAGAAATGGTGTAGGGTCTCCTGCTTGGGCCAGGGTGGGTTGGACTGGATGACCTCCAAGGATCCTTCCAACACTGTTTATTATTCCGTTATTCAGAAATTGTGGGAGCTTCATCCCTGGAAGCTTTTCAAAAAAGAGGCCAGACTGCCATCTGTCAGAAAGGGTGTAGGCCTCCTGCTGTGGCGCGCGGGGGGGGGGGTTGGACTAGATGACCCCCAGGGTCCCTTCCAACTCTGATGAACTGTTATCTGCCAAAAAAGCCGCCCGCCCGCCACGCACGCGGGGAGGGGGGGGGTTTCCCCCGTCTCGCGTGGCTCCTCGCCTTGGGGACTACAGCCCCCGTGATCCTCTCTCTCTCCCGCGCGCCTTCCCCCCCCCCCACCC